ACCCGGTGGCTTAAACTCACGCCGGGTGCATGTGCGTGCGTGCCCAAGATCCCGAGAGGAGAATGGAGGAGAAGGAATTGAGGCGTGGCCATCCCTCCCTGGGGGGTGATTTCTCGCTTTCTGTCTCTCTGTTTCTCTCTGTCTGGCGAGCGCACGTGCCCTATAGTAAAAACCTCTCCAAAAAAAAAAAAAAAACATGCCAGGCATGTGCACACAGGTACCCAAGATACTGAGGTGCTACAGGGCTGAAGAAAAGGGACTGTGGCAGGACAAAACCCTGCTGAGGATGTATTCTCTTTCTCTTTTTCAATTTTTCTTTCTCTCATACACATGCATGAATGTACACATGCTATCATAAGAAAAAAATAATTAGAAAAATAGTTACTGAGCAATTTCCCATTAATTCTCAGACTGTGGTTGGTAGATCAGTCATTTGTTAAAGTTCTGTTTCTTACTTCATTGTCCTGAAATGGCAAACTTGATGTTGGCAGCCTCTGATGGGAAAAGAATTAGGCGAAGAAATAAACAAAATCCAAAACTCTGATCCTCTTCCTAACTTGACTAACACAAATTCTATTTCTTAATGTTCTTGTGAAACCAATTACCTCTCTTACCTAATAGATAATGAGTTCCTGAAAGACTATTCCCTAGGAGTAAATATGATCCAGAAAAAATAAAATGAGTCTTCATGGGCACTGAGGCCCAAATTTTGAAATTAATTCAATCTCCAACTTGACTAAGTTAATTCTGAACATTCAGTGGCCCTTTCCTATTTCCCTTGCAAAAGAAAAGTGTATATTTGTAATAGGTACATATTATACAGAGTCATACTAAGCTTTATCATTTTTCATATATTTTGATCAATCAAAAACTACCAGGTTTATGGAAAGATAGTCATGACCAAATAAAGAGAAAAAAAAGCAATTGAAACAGTCCTTTAAGAGACTCAAATACTAGAACTGTAAATCATAGACTTTAAAATTACCACAAATAATTTATTTTTTAAAATGAGAAGAAGGGAATGAGAAAGTCAGCAGAAAGTTAGAAAATAAAAAAAAAAGCAAAATGAAAATTCTAAAACTGAACAACACAATGACTGAATTTAAGAATTAAACAGATGACGGCCAAAGACAGGATTCATGAACTGTAAGATAGGTCAGACAAAAATACACAATCTGAATTTAGAGATACAAAAGGATAGAAAATATAGAAAGGAACATAAGAAATATATGAAAGATGTTGAACATGACTAAGATACATATTTAGAATACTTAGACTAAAGGAGAAAGACCATGAGGGGAAAAAAAATATCTGAAGAGACACTGTCTGAGAAATTGTCAAATATGACAGACATTAAGGTGCAGATTCAGGATGTTCTAGGAACCTCAAGGTAAGTACAAAGAAAATCAGACGTCGCTATATTATAGTACCTGTTGAAAATCCAACAGAAAAGGGGAAAATATTAAAAGTAGTAAAGGAAAAAATTCACCTTCAAAGGAACAACAATATACTGATAGCTGATTTCCTAACAGAAACATCGGAATCCAGAAGCTAATTTAATCTTCAAATTACCTTTTTCTGCACAGCAAAGGAAACAATAGTTGGACTGAAGAGACAACCCTCAGAATAAGAGAATATATTTGCAAACTATGCCTCAGATAAGTGACTTATAACCAGAATCTATAAGAAACTCAAGCAACTTACCTGCAAAGAAGTAAACAATTCAATTAAAAAATGGCCAAATGAGCTGAATAGACGACTCTCCAAGGAAGGCATTTGAATAGCCAAAATGGATATGTAAAAAAGCTCCATAACTCTTATTAGAAGGAAAATGTAAATCCAAAACACAATGAGATACCACTTAACCCCAGTGAGAATGGCTAAGATTAAAAAAATATAAAATGATAAGTGCTAGGGAGGTTGTGGAGAAAAGGGAGCTCCACCTTCACTGTCGGTGAGAATGTAAATTATTAGTACAGACACTGTGGAGAACAATATGGAGGGTCCTCTAAAACCTACAAATAGAACTACCATACAAACAAACAATTCCACTCCTGGGCATCTACCCAAAGGATAAACAAACAGTGGGAGAAACACTTGCATATCATGGTCATTGCTGCATAAATGCTAAGACATAAACCAGCCAAAAAGTCCAGGAGCAGATTAATGGGTTGAAAAAAAATGTATATATAACCACTCTACCATACTACCAAGCCATAAAAAAACAATGAGACCCAGACATTTGATACAAAGTGTATGAATATGGAAGATTTAATGCTGACAAAGCAAGCCAGACTACAATATAGTGTCCCCACTTAATGTATACATAGTCTGCACTGTATGGCAAAAACTGAAGGACTGAAAGGTATAAAAGCAGGGAGAGCAACTGTAGATAATAATAGAGACAGTGTGGAAGGGGGATGGGCGATGGTAGGAGGGAGGGAGAGAATGGGAGGAGAAGCAAAACATTTAAGGGACACAAAAATGGAAAGTTATCTGTTGATGATAATGAATATGTTAATATCTTTGACTGAACAATGTATTCAAGATGGGAAAAGTCATTTTGGATGCTGTAAAGATGTACAGTGATTAAATATTTTAAAATGTTTTTAAAAAGTTTTCTGTTAAGGATGATATATATGGTAATATCTTTAACTTTGATTGACATGCACTGCATTCATGCTTTGGAAAACCATATTGTATGCTACAAACATGTACTGAGTTTAAACATAAGTAAAAAAATCATACAACAAAAATAAATAAGTTTTGCTTTTAGAAAGATGTCCAGTAGTTAAATGTAAATTTGAAAAACTTAAAAATTAATTTAAAATTTTTTCCAAACATAAATACCAAGAGTTATTAATTTCCAATGCAGGATTCAAAAACCAGAGAAAATATGTTTGAAGATTAAGAGTGAAATACAGACATGCTAAGAAAAACAAAAACTGTGCATATTCACCACCATTAGAACTATATGGAAGTAAATACTAAAGGGTACCCTTTAGACAGAAGAAAAATTATTCCAAATGGAAACTTTCAAAGGAGATAAAGCTAAGGATACAAAGCAATGGAAAGAGTAAGTATGCAGTCAATGTAAATACATAAAGCACGCCCAATCAGAAGAACAAAAGGGATAAATAAAAACTTCAAAATCATTATTGATGAAGTTTAGCATATCTCTCCTCAATATATGACTGAATACGCAGAAAAAAAATCAGTAAAAATATAGAATATTTGGACAGCACAATAGAAAAAATAATTTAATAGACATATCTAAGTTACTCAAGTCAACTACTGCGTAATTCCCATATAAAAAACTCACAATATCTACAAAAATCAGTTCACAGTGGATTATAATTCTAAAGGTGAAACAATAACAATTAAGGAAGTTCACATAAAATATAGTCATGATTGAGGGGTTAGGGAAAGTTTTCTTTAATGGCGTATAGAATCTCACTAATCATATAGGAAAGAATTAACAAAGCCAACTGCTAAAAATTAGTAATCACATCATTAAGAGAGTAAAAAGCCAAGTTAAATGAGAGAAGACATATGTAATACAGGCAACTAACATAGCATGGGTGCAGAATACATAAAGAATTCCTTCAAATCAGTAAAGGTTATACTGAAACCCATGGCCAGTGATTTCTTCAGTGTTTATCCTCCCAGATGTGGCAAAGGATGTTTGTTAATGATGGAAAGGAAGTCTTAAAATAAATTTATTTATGTGAGACAAAGACTTGCTTAAGCAAGTCAAAGTAATGAATTTAAAGGAAGTAATAGTGGAAGTTAAATCGTTCATTTCTTTAGAACTGCTTATCTTGATTTAGTATTGAAACATAGCATGAATTGCTCTTTTTAGGATCACCTTTAAGAAAGAAAATAGGAACAGAACATTGGTTAAATAATATAGTCACTGAATATAATCGTCTTAAAATAAAATTATAGTCTTCATTCAGAGAAACTGAAAATGGAAAGTCATTTCCACGACCTACCACGACCTACCACATTATTCACTCTTCCTTCTGATAGCCTCTTGATTCCCAGAACACGATGAGCCAGGGAGGAGAAAAGATTAAAACAAAAGCAAAAGCAAAAAAAAAAAAAAAAAAAACTGGAGTGATGTCAGCATTGCCCATCTGACCACAAAAAAAGGCAGATCAACACTGAACTGCCTTGAGATGAGATTATAAAACACCTCCCAGAGAGAGGAGACAAAGAGGTGTCTGGAGAGAGAAAACAAAGCTGTTAATTTGAGGAAGATACCTCAGAAGGATGAGAGTTTGGCAGGCCCCAGGAGTAGCAGAGACCAAGTCACACTTGACTATAGTAGAATTTGAATTAGAAAACAATGACTCTTACTTACAGCCAAATAGACAGAATGAAATCCATGTCCACAGGACGAACATGTGAATTGAAAGATTTTCTCCATTTTTGCCCTTTCTCAAAGAGAATTAGGTTTGGAAGAAATCCAGGAACTACTTCAATCTTGTATCTCAGCTGATATGCAGAGCTGGCTGGGTGTTTGATATTCACCTTGCCAGACACCCTAAATGTCTAAGAATGTCTCAGGGGAATTGCCTATGCCTTCTAAAAAGTCATGTGGGGCCAAGAGGGACTCTAAGACAAGAAAGTTCATGTGCTCTTTTCAAATGCAGTAAGAGACCTAGTCTTGTGAAGCTTCCAATTTTACTATGTGTTCTAGATTTTATTTTAACTATTGTCGTCTTTGTCTCTGTATTTGCCTTTGTTCGTCTTTCTCATTCTCCTCTCCTTTTTCTATCTCACTCTCTGTCTCTCTTGGTCTCTCTCTCTCTCTCTCTCTCACACACACACACACCCCAAAGCCCTGCTGAGACATTGCTGAGTCTGTGGTTGGGCTATACTTCTAACACTACCTTATATCCCTAAATTTAAAATACTTTTTTTCTTTCTTGCTTTCCTCACTCCAATTCTTTCCATCATCAATTGTCACTTTCATGAAAAGGCAAAAAACTCACGCGACTTTGGCACAGACAGTGCACTTCCAGCTGCCATCGAGGCCCACGACCCGACACTCACTGCACACCCTCAGCGAGCAGGTCTGGCATGGATCTCCTCGGTCAAAGATTAGGCCCAGGTTTCTCTGACAGTGAACACAGACTCTACTGGTCTCCTGTTGAGTCTTCCCACTTCTACGTTTCGCTTCTAAGAGTTCATTTTTCAGCTTTCTGGAAGGAAAAAAAAATAATCACTTAAACACAGACACACAAGCAGAGTTATATTTATTAGAGATGTTTTTATTTGGAAGAATATTTGGATCAAGGAATAAGAGAAAGATACTTTAGAAAATATCATCTCTTCCTCCAGAATCAACTGGTCCTTTGATATCAGTAGTTGAAGAATACATCAATTTACTTTTAAACTTTGACATCCTTCACTAGAACTACTACTTTGTTACTAGTATTTATTCACATTCTGCTCTAATTTCTCCATGATATCTTTGATACCATAGCACTTGAACATGGCCCAAGTCTGGAGACATGAATGGTAACATGATTTTTTTTATCAATCTAGTTATATGTACTACATGAGGTGAGAATATGAAATTAAATTTGGCAACATTAGTACATTCCTTAAATGATCCCATGAAGATTGTGCCTACAAATGAACTGTCTATCATTTCAGGTCTAAACTCTCTGCTTAATATTTGAGAGTTTCCCAAGATTTCCATTAACCCATGGGCTTTGCTGTCAGACATAAGTCTGTTATGTTCCATCATGAATTAGCTGCCCAACCTTAGGCAATGACTCAGCCACTCAACCTCAGTTTGTTAATTTCTAAAATGGAAAGAATAATATTCTTCAATGGTTATTTTTAAGATTAAATGAGATAATACATGCAAAATTCCCAGCATGGTGCCTGGCACATACGTACTAAATAAATGGTAGTCTCATGTCCCTTCTTTTACCTGGCATATAATCTATTCTAACTATGGTCCCCATTCTAGCAGCAGCATCACCACCTGGGCACTTGTTAAAAATGCAAAATCTTGGGGCTGGCAGGTGGTGTGGTTTTTAAAGGCACTGGACTCTCACATGGGCGACTGCAGTTTGAGTCCCAGACCTGGTGGCTTGCTTTCTCTCTTTCTCTCTCTCTCTCTCTCTCTCTCTCTCTCTCTCTCTCTCTCTCTCTCTCTCTCTCTCTCTCTCTCTCTCTCTCTCTGCCTGTCTCTCTCTGGTCAAATTAAAATAAATAAGCAAATAAAATAAATAAAGTTAAATAAAATTATTCTTTTAAAAAAATGCAAAATCTTAGGTCCCACCTCCAACCTACTGGATCAGAATCCACATTTAATACAATTTTGAAGTGACTATAGTTTGAGTAGCACGGCTTTGGAACATTTGTTCTCAGAGCTTTGAATCACTTGAGAAAACTTAAAAAAATATATTGATTACTGGGTCTCATTCCCGTAAATTCTGATGTAACTGGTTTGGGATGTGGCCTAGACAATGGTATTTTTTAAAGCTTCCTTATTTATTTCAATAATACTGCCAAATTAGGAAAACTCTGCTCTAGAAGATGGGTCCATTCCCACTGATATGCTTCACAAATATGCTACTGATCTCTAATCTCTTCTTCAACACAAAGCTTCTACGTTCCAGCAAAAAATTCTGGAATCTTCCCACACATTTCATACCATCTCTTTTTACATTTGTGGTACTAAACTTTGTCATTCCCAACTAGACTAGCATCTTTTCAAAGGCAGAAACAATGACTTTAGTTTCTTGACTATACTGCTGATGATCCAATTCCATGCCAGGTTATAAAACAGTCGAAAATATAAAGCTATTTATTATTTCTTTTGGACCTTCAAACTAACTTGTGAGATATTATGGGTCCCAAATTAAAGATAGTAAGTAATGTAGATTAAATCAAAACCCAGGTAATTTCATTCCTAGCCTAATAAGATTCATATATGGAGACTTTTAAAAGTGAGGAGTGACATTCCAAAAATCTTTGATTCGCTGTATCATTCCTTCCAATCCAATAAGCATTTACTGAGTGCCTCCTCTGTGAAAGGCATTCTGGTATTCAGAGATACAAATGAGTCAAAACAGAACCTCTACTAAGGATTCCCATTATCCTTGATACAGCCAAAAGGGGAAAAATAACACATGATGAGTCATGTATTGCAACAGGCAGCCATACAGAGGACTCATAAATCCCCTTCTCTGGTCTATCTAAACAGAAGGGGCAAGAACGCACAGCAAATGTTTTCCTAACCCCTGGTTTAGAGCTTACAGAGTACTCTTAAGTCCTCAAAGTGAGCATGCGGCTAATGAAACTGAGTGTAAGAAAAGCCCCACATAATTTTCTTTTGGAGAACTTGTAAAAGCTACAGGATTTAAGATAGCAGAATGACTTCTCATTTGAAGACCACAATTGTATTATTTGTAGGATCACAATAGATATTTGAGCTCCTCAGAGAGCAGAAGGAATAAATATTGTCTTTTCAAAATCTATAGCAATTCATCCATCAGTGATAAGGAAAGAGATCAAATTGCAAAGACCAAAGACAATAATCTAAGATAGCAGTCATCAGAAAGGCTGCAGGGAAAAGGGAACCCTTTTACAATGTTGGTAAGAATGCAAATTAGCACAGCCACTGTGGAGAACAATGTGGAGATTCCTCAAAAACCTACTAATGGAACTACCATCTGATCCAGCAATCCCACTCCTGGGTATCTACTCAAAGGACAGGAATACACTTGCACATCTATATTTACTGCAGAATTATTCACCATTGCTAAGAAATGGAATCAACCAAAATGTCCATGAACAGATGAATGTATTGAAAAAGTGTGGCACATACATACTATGGAATACTACTATGCCATAAAAAAACAATGAGATGTTGGAATTTGATAGAAAGTGGATGAATATGCAAGATTTAATGCTAAGCCAAGCCAGCCAGACTATGAAAGAGGGGCATTTCATGTCCCCACTTAATATATATCAAATGTCTGCCCTCTATGGCAGAAACTGAAAGATTGGAAGGTATAAAATCATGGAGAATAGTAGAGACAGTGTAGGGGGAGGGTGGGAAATGGGGTGGGGTGAAAGGGACCAAATCAAGGGGAAAAAGAAAGAAGTAAAATGTTTAAAGGACACAAAAATTGAAAATTATCTGTTGATGGCAATGTATAAGGTAATATCTTTGACTGGACTAACATATAGTATATTTATGCTAGGAAAATTCATTTTGTATGTGGCAAAGATATACAGTGGTTAAATGTAAAAAAAAAAGGTAGTAATAATGAGAAGAAAATGAAAGAAAGAAAAAGAAAAAGAAAACTAGCCAGCATTTGCAGAGGAATATTTTTTTAACTCAGAGGAACTCTGTGCTAAAGAAATAATTATTTGAGGTATAATAATTTGTTAGGCTACATTCAACCCTTTTTCCTCCTATTAAATTCATGTCAAATTAAATTTAATAATGTAATATAAATCCTATTTTTAAAAAAAATAGCAGCCTTGTCTAAGTACGTTAGTGGATCAAAGAGTAATAAAACGAAAAAATGGGGGATTCTGGGATATTCCAGAGGCAAATCCTCTCAGAAAAAGAATGTATGATCAGGGGCTTGAAGTTTAACCACTCAGCAGCTCCTTAACTACAGTGGTTGTGACTAATTGGAAAAATTATGACCATAAATTAGTCAAACAATTGCACTGCATCTTTCTGAGTTCTCTCCTTGACAGGACTTTATTTAATAATCAGCTTTCACCAAGTTTGTAGTTACAGAATCTGAAAGGACTTGGGGCCCAGTATAAAGCAGGTCACAAGAAAGCAAGAATTGAAAGGTCCCAAACACACTAGTTGAACAATGTCTAAGGCAATTTGTACTGATGGTTCCAAATATTTTGGCAGCGATCTCTGATGTATGCAGGGAAGGCTGAGGATTCTATAACCTGGTACAAAATATTAAAGACCTTTACTGATTTTTTTAAACGGTCCTAGGA